ATGTAGTGGACGATTCAAGTTTTACAAAGGAATATATTAAAAAATCTTCTCAACATGCTCAAGAACAGCAAAGTGATGATTGGTTATGTTTTTATGGAAGCATCCTCGGGTATAAAGTAGATGCAGATTTATTAAAATAATGCCCCAGGGGGTAGGGTAGTACCACAATAAAGTTCAAACTTGTGCAGAAAAAAGCAGTAATAGTAAAAAAAAAAGTAATTATCCATCAGTCTTTATTGTAGATTCATGTTTGTGTAAATTTAAATTTGTTAAAACCATACACCAATTTTAGGGTCCATTAGGACAATTTATGCATTTACTGAATTGATTTTTGCTTGTTCTAAGCCAAAGTGCACAGGTGAGCGATGTGGCCCATGGGCCTCTTGTTTTGAAATTAATAGCTTTGAACTGACAATTATTTTTTGATGGGGCTGGTAAATTTTTGGATTGGCAACAACTTTACCTAGCAATCAATCCTGCTTGTCTAGCTAATTTTACAGTGAGTTTCAAACACAAGCTGCTATATGCCCTGGTCATATTCATGGTGGGGCATAAAACTTCTTGTATGAGTCCGTTGAAATATTTTAGTTTAAATATATAAATTTTTTTGTGGTATCATTATAGTCCAAGAAGCTTCTTCCATTAGTATCACTGCTGTTGTTCCATCTACTACAGATTCTGCTAAGCCTGGACTCCCCAACCAAGGTGCCTTTTTATTTTTTTACTTAAATGTATCATGTGTATGTAAATATGCACCACAGTACCAGATTAAAGTTGAACACTTTGCTTTATCTTTTATATCATTAATCTACATTACTTATCTCTTATTTTAAAGGTAACACCATGCCCCAGTCACTATCCGTACAAGTAGCAGAAATGGTGGTAAGGCTCATAAACATAAATGAGTTAAATAATTATATGGTGATAAAAGTATTTATTTTTACAAGAATTTTTTTTATTCTGATAAAAAAAGAGAGATATGCAATTTATATTTCATAGAAAAATAGTTTCTTCCTTGATTACTAATCCCAAGTTCCTTTACGACTTTCACTGTTTTTTAAATTTTAATCGTGATAATTATTATTTCTAGTCAAAGACACATCAACCCTTAGTCATGGTGCTGCGATTCCACACACAGGGGCTGATAAACATGGAACCTCCACAGAAGGTAACCCTCCCCCAATTCTTTTATAAAATCACCTTATTGTATATGATATTAATTATCCAGGTTCAATCAAGGGTGTACGGGGATTTATCTCAGGTTTTATTCCATACACCCTGAGGCCGAAGGAATATTAATTTACCCTACCTCTGTTGATTTTTATGTGAAATCCTGGCTTACGATTGGTTAAAGTCTGTCACGTGAAGGAGGTGGATTACTTATACCCGGTCAGTTGTAGATATATACCCAGTCAGTTGTTATCTAAACCTGGTCGATGTATTACGTAACAAACATAGCGTACCAAATTAAAGTTGAACAATTTGCTTTTGCAAAACACCAGTTTAAATGTATTGCTTCCTTAATTACTGAATATCACTGAAATTTTTGAGTTCTGAAATTCAAGTCAGTTTTCCTCCTCATCTTTTTTTTTATCTCTTTGAATTAATCAACAAACTCATCTCTTATTTCAAAGATAACACCATGTCTCAGTCACTGTCCAGTGATATTACAAGAGCCAGTACAAGTAGCAGAAGTGGAGGTAAGTTTCATATACATAAATGAGTTAAATAATTAAAAAGTGGTAGAAGTATTTATTTTTACAAGAAAGTCCTTTTTTTATATAAAATAAGAGAGATATGTAATTTACATGTATATTTCATAGAAAAATGGTCTCTTCCTCCTAAGTTCTTTAATGACTTTCACTGTCCACAGTAGACACAACTGAAATGATAATAAAAAGAATTCTTGTTACATGTACATAACATGTGTATAATGAAGTATAAACATTCTTATAATAATATTGGGGAAAAAAATTATACCATTATTTGTATTTACAGAGGAGGGGAACAACAAATCAAAGAAGCAACAAAAAAAGGCACAGAATGGTAATCTTCATACTCTAATGAGTCTTATTTCTGTTTTGCTACAATTATCATACACATGCTTATTTATAGTCAAGTAATAAAGCAATTCATGAATAAGAAATTTGAAACAACATCTATTGTAATTTGTTATACAGACTGTCATAGTCTACCATGGTAACTTAAGAGTCATGCACTTTCAAAAATTTAAGCCAGAAAATGTAATCCATACTACTGTTAATACAGTCATACACCTTATTCATGCAAATGTAATCAGCTTGGAGAAATATTGTGATGAACCAGAACAGGATTCAAACCCAAGTGCTTTAAAAACATCCATTTAAAAAATCTTCCTTAAGTACAAAATGTCGTTTACATTTGCATTGTTTCAATATCACTGAAACCCTTATTTTAATAACTTGGCCAATCAGTAAGTCGGTTAAATTCAATGATATATATGCATGAGCTTAAGTGCTACACTGTAATAGTTAATGAAACTTGGTGCTTTGACTTGACTTGCAGGAAGTGAAGGGACCAGTCCACAAGAGCAGTTCCTCCTATTTCAAAAGGAGAAGTTGGCCAAGGTTTCAGATTACAGGAAAAGAAAGTTAGACATTATGGAGGAGCTGCTCCAGCTAGAGCGTAGGAGAACTGTAGCTTTGGAAAAGATTGCCGCCTCCACAGACTGTGCCAGAAGCTCTCCGCCATTATCATTATCACCTGTTATTAAGTTTCTCTGATTTATCGCAAAATATTTAATGTAAATTTTTATTTTCATTAAATTGTCATTGTTATATCAAAGTTAGTCATTGACTATAATCTACTTACATTTAGAACCTTTGAATAAGTCTTTCTCGTATAGCGGTGGCAGGTATGTTGTTGTTGACTGGTGGTGCACAGTATTGCTCAATGCCAATCTCTGGCTCCACAGCCTCCATGAGTGGCACCCTCTGCTCAATAGCCAAATTATGCAGACGCATGGCACATTCGATGATCTTGGTACACTTGTCTGGCTTGTAGGGTAGACTGCCTCCAGTTTTGTGTAAGCACCTATTGAAATTGAAGGTTAATCTTGTTTACATTTCTTAGCCAGTTATTGAATTTTGAAAGACAACAGCTAATTAATTTAATGACATTAATTTTTTTTTCATGTTAGTTTCATCTAAGATAATAGTAATTCAATCACAATCACAACTAAATTATTTGTAACCTATACTTGATTAAACAATGTATTTTGAAATTAAATTATCTGCTGGCTTGTAAGGGAGATAACTTCTAGAATTCATGATTTATAATAGAATTGATATAACCATTTTAGGTGTAAAGAGTACTCAATTACAATTTTTTCTTGAAGACAAATGCTTGCATGTACCTGAAACGGGCTTTTAGGACCCCAAAGGCCCTTTCAATTACATTCCTTGTCCTGCAGTGAGCTACATTATATCGCTCTTCTTGGGCAGTTCTGGGGTTGTTGATTGGAGTCATCAACCACTCCTTTAAGGGGTAACCTGAATCCCCCAATAGCCATCCTCCATCAGTCAGATTTGACAGGCATTGTGGCAAAGAACTGCTGTTCAAGATGTAGGAATCATGGGATGAACCTGGAAATTTGCACACAGCATTTGTAAATCTGCAAAATAGACAGGGAATAAATTTTACATTGTTGAGACACAGTTTGAGGGGAAATATGATCTTTGTTCAATTATATTTTAATTAACAGAGATAAGTGATTTTGCCAGAGTTGTCGACTTGTCGTTCCCGCTTCTCTCCCACATACACCTCTGTCAACGCTTGTTATACAAGATTCTTGGAAAAATTGTTTTTGATTAAAAGTTGTATTTATAATTGTGTGTAACTATATTTCTTATCCGAAAACATTATTTATTTGAATTTGTTACATCTTAAAGGGATTTTTTAATTAAGATTTTAATTTTTACTCCGCAAAATAGTTCCCTAAAATCTTTGAAAATAAGTTGTTCTAAGTGACTATAGATCTAAAATAAATAATGAATTATCATCTTCATCAATATTTACAATAATTAAATATCATTTAGATTTTGAATCTTCTCTGTTTAAAATTTGTACAAGAATCTTGTACAACGAGCGTTGAAAAAGGGTTGTGAGCGTAGCGGAAGACAACTCTGGATAGAGAATGCATCCAGCGTTGCAACAGTCAACATTGCTTGACGATGGGTGATATTTCAAACAATTTAGTGACTGTGCAGATTTTATGCGTGCACAGTTCACTGTTATATATGTATTGTACATTCAGTATAATATAATAAATATTGCATGTAGTTGATTGTAACATTAAAAATTTTCACTCCTTGAAAACCATTGCCCCTCGGTTGACATTGGTTTTCTTGGGGTGAAAATTTTCAATGTTACACTCAACTATACATGCAATATTTATATATATAGTATTACATGTAATGACATTAATTTTAAATTGAATAAATTTTACCGTAAATCTGGGTTCACCACAGCCTGTACATTTATGGAGTGAAACCCTTTCCTACAAATGTATAGGGGTCATCATCTGAAGACATCCCTTGGATGGGAATCTGGGTCCCGTCAATGGCACCTGTAGTGAATTTAAAATGAATGTAAAGTGAGCTTTTCTGCATGATAACCTATCCATGATAACCTATCCATTGTTTGTATGTTAAATTTTCCACTCTCTCAGATACTTACCAACAACATTGGGAAAATGAGCAATTTTGTAGAAGTCCATCTTGATTTTCTTTACATCTTCAGTAGCAGAGGGAAACTTTATGTTCTGTAGTGTGGTGCAAATGGCATCAATTACACGATGTACAATAAGGCAACCTGACGACTTTGATATTCCATGAATATCAGCTATTTCTGACAGATAATCACCTTTGGCTAAAAATCGAAGACACGTTAACACCTGAAATGAAATTAAATTCCATATGTAAAGGATTCTATTGCTATAACAACTAGATTATTTTGAATTTCTTTATTGTTAGCCGCTGAGCATGCAACACATTTAGAAAAGGAAATTGTAGGTTATAAATAATTTTTTTGTCTAGTAATCTTGTCAAATGATTTGATTTTCAGATATCTTATAACTACAAAAAAGTTCTACATGTATATAAATTATTATAATAAACTAGAACTGTCCAAACGGGACAAAATACCCCCGCTGGGTTTTTCAGAAGTAGTGTTTTTTCATAATAAAGATATGTATCAAACACGAATTATGAAATTTTTCTTCCAGTGACCTTGAACTTCCTAAAATGACCTTGGGTCAAGGTCATGACACACCCTTAGGTCATGAGCAATCTTAGTGTGGAGTAGTAGATTCTAATGTCCCTCTGTAAGAAAGATATGGACCGGACATGATTGCACAGACAGACGGACAGACAGGTAGACAGACAGACGGACAAGGTGATTCCTATATACCCCCCCAAACTTCGTTTGCGGGGGGTATAATAAATGTGAAATATTTTTTATCTTTGGAAATGCAGAAATGTAGATGTACTAAGGGGAGGACCATAGGGGGGTGGGTGCTTGAAAAAAATTCTTTCCTTAAAAATTTTGACAATATCCACCAGCAAGAAATAGGTATTTTCAATTCAATTCTTTATTGGCACTAAAGCACATATTTATGGTATAAGTTAGACCCTGAATGTACCTGATCCCCTTTCCCTTCCAAACTAGATTTAGGGGATATTTTGATGTCAAATTAACTGATGCTTCCCCCCCCCCCCCCCCCCCCAACACACACAATGCAATATAAAGTTGCAATTTGACCTTTTTAAAAAAAAATTATACACTGATTTAAGTCATCTTTGAAAAAAATTCTCTCCAATGAAAACATGATCCTCCCCTTATTATTTAAATGCCATCTAATATTTTTTAAAGTTCTTTAATTAACAGTTCAATTATTTTATCTTGTCTTTCAAAAAAAATAATTGATAATTTTTTGCTTCAAATAAATGCAGGGGAATAACTTTTTTTAAAGTGAACTGTATGTGCTCCTCACTTATCAAAGGGAAACAATTCAAAAATTAGTTGATACAGTAGTGGCCCTTTTATTTACTCTTCAGTACATATGAAAATGGACAAAGTTTAAAGGCATTGCATTGATCATGATTACACCAGGCTGTGTCAGAGTATTCTTCTTAATCATTTTCTTCAGGATATTCAACATAGTAACAGTAAGTTTCTTTTGCTTTTTGATCATGTAATTCACATTGGAACTTTGTTTAGATGCTATAGCTTCATCTAGAATTTCCTCTGTTTATTTGTATCTATTACAAGCGGGTCACAGAGCGCATAGTTACCTGGATATGCGCAGGAATAGAGTGAGATCTAAAGGTTTTAGGTTGGAGGAGGTCTTTTACTTCTTCTGTCAGGTACAGGATGACATGCCTCGGGAACCTGTAGCGCTCAATAAGTTCAACATCTCTCAGGGTGTCAAGCACTTCACTCCTGTCCCTAAAAATCCGGGGACGGCGGGGGGATTTGTCTTCTTCTTCTCCCAAAATGTCTCGAAATATCATAAGGGCGGCCATTTTTATTCAGAATTACGAAAAAATCGTAACTTAGGATAGCCCATAGGCTGTCGTAGAGTTACGATAAGATTTTTAACGTAATTTAAGATAAGAAGTTTAGTAAGACAGAAATTTATCGTAACTTACGGTTACGATCAAATCTTAACTTACGAAGTTTAGTAAAACTGAAGCCTGGTCTATTACGTTACTGAGCATGCTGTCGGAAGTAGGGATATAAGTAATGGATAATAGAAACTATTTTGTCTTAAGGTTTCAGTTTATTTCCAATTTTCAATTTAATAACAAAATTCAAAGAACAAAATATTTGATTAGAGTTTAAAAATGTTACTGTACAAAACAAGTATTGTCTAAACGAAGACAAAAGAAACGTCCCTGGTACACACCAATAAGACTTTTAAATAAATAAATTTTAAAAAAAACTACTTTTGTATTCCTGAATGAATATTTTAATATTTATTTACATGTCAGGTAACATTTCAATATACATACATTTTATTTTATGTACTTTTATTCTAATTTTACATTATAAAGAGCTACTGGTATATATTCAATAAAGATACAAATTATACTCTAAATTGTTTTGAAATATTGAAAAATCTATACAAAAACAAAAATAACAAGACTCTAGAAAATTAAAGTCACAAATAAGATCATTTTAACTGGTTGACCTAAATGTTTCAAGACTTCCTCTCATGTATATTGATAATGCTTTACTATATAGAATCATAGACGTTTTATGCTCGTCTTAGCATCATTTTAGTTTGTGTTAAGGACACAGTCCAACCTTTGAAGGGATACCAGCTTACCCCTTGTCCGTGATTGTTATTACCGTATTCGCCGTTCAAGTTTGACTGATGTCCCAAGTTGTACCACCACGCACCTCGCCACGCCTGCGCACTGTTTCTAGATGAATCAAGGTCGTTATCATTATCAAATGTAGAAAACTGCGCATCATTGTTGCAGAACATATTTGTACACGAAATTCCGTCTCCTGTAAACAGAATAAATGTCCTTGTAAGAAGCTGTGTAAATATGTAAGTTACCTACAATTTCTGATATTATAGCATATTTTAAATCATTTAAAAGCTAAATACTATTTAAGTATTAATCTAATTGGAGGATAACAAGCGTACCAGCTGTCCCACTGTACCCTGAAACATGGATTCGGTAGTTGTCTTCCTCCGCCGCTATGTAGAAACTACTGTACTCAGCATATACCAATTCTGTACCGTATTCCAATTCCACACGTAAAACTGTATATCCATTGGTGACCAACAAACGGATGTTGTCAAGTCCTTGAAATACATTACTTGCATTATATGCAAAATTGATCACGCAAAATTCGAAGACATATTTATTTGATATGAATAAAATAATCATATATTTCTTTGAGGACCTGAATTTGAGATTTCGCTTGTTTTGTTTTAAATAAAAGAATCCTTTTAGAAAATTAACACTAAAACATGTTTTCAATATAACCTTTTTGAATATTAAAATGTTCTATTAAATGAAAAAAAAATAAGATATATCCTCTCAAAGAAATTCGACCGCGATATCAGCACCTGATTTCAAACATGACTGGTTAAAGCTGAACACGACTCGTAAATGGGCATAAGCCAATATTGATTCAAAAAGTTACGATATCAGCATTCGCACCTGACTGCTTTATGTCACTGGTATTCGGCGTGAAATGGCAACATGTGTTCGTACAGGTTATCTTGCATTCCTTTGCTCACATTTTATTGCATTAAGTGCATTTGTGTTTGTTTGTATACTGCATTTACCAGTGCAACTATCATAAGTGTGTCCACTATGTCTACACCTACTGAGTTCTGTCATGGTGTTCAGCAAGAGATCACAGTCGAGTCTCCCATTAGTAGTGAGGAAAGTGAAAATCAAGTAGAAATGAATTCACCCTGTGTTGAGAAATTTTCGCATGAGAGTATTCAATGCAGTCTTCTTCATGGTCGCTATTCAATTGAAAAGTTTAGGACAAACTCTAAGGCAATTAACTTTTACACGGGATTTACAGATTTTGAGCATTTTGAATTTTTTTTTCGTTGTCTTGGCCCAGCAGCTTCAGATCTATCTTAAAAAATCAACCAACTATAATTTCACCCATTGATCAGCTTTTCTTAACTTTGATCAAACTTCGCCAAGCTAGGGAGGATTTTGAATTAAGTCTAATGTTCGAGATTAGTGAAACAACTGTATCAAAAATAGTCATAATGTGGATTAACTTCATGTACTTTCAGCTGAAAGAACTTGATATATGGCCTTCTCGAGAAATCATTGATAAACATATGCCAGAGGATTTCTCGAAGAAGTTTCCCTCTACCAGGGTGATTCTCGATGCAACCGAGATACCATTTCAAAAGACGTCAGATGTAATTGCCCAGTCAGTGACATGGTCTGGATACAAGCATCGCAATACTTTAAAAACAATGATTGGTTGTACACCACGAGGTGCAGTTTCCTTTATTAGTGATGCTTTTGGGGGTTCTGCTTCCGACAGACAAATCATTGAGTGTTCTGATATAACAAAGCCAGAATCAAACAGGTTTTTACCAAAAGATAGTATAATGGCAGACAGAGGCATTATGGTGCAAGATTTGTTTGCACCCATGGATGTGTTTGTTAATACTCCTACAATGCTTAAGGGAAAATCTCAACTTGAACCAAAAGATGTTGTAAAGGACAGGAGAATTGCATCCAAACGAATACACGTAGAGAGAATCATTGGCCTTAGTAAGAGATACAAAATTCTAAGTTCTCCACTTCCATCTAGCAAATGTATTCTTGCATCTAGAATAGTGTTTGTTTGCTTTTCTTTGTGAAATTTTAGGAAACCAATTGTGGATGGGTATGCCTGATTGATTAAATAAACTGAAAAGAATTTTTCCATAATTTATTATTGTATAAATAGTATGTTTCCTGGTACAAATCAAAAATGTTTTCTATAGTGTAAAAATTGCAAAAGTTACAACCTTGGGCCATCATTAAAAAATTTTTGTTTGATGTACTCCAACCCACATTCTCAAGGTTGGTAGGTAGTTAGGTTTTGTTTGTTTTTTCTCTACAGTATTGGACAAATGATATATGTAACTGTCATACAAATCACAGACCCGGATATATATTGATGTTTTCATTAGATATAGATGACTATACATTTTTATTAATTATTGCTATAAAAATTAAAATAATAAATCATCCTTGAGAAATTTTACTACGGAGATTGAAAAAAACAAAATCAAAGTGCTGGTAAAAAAAAGAAAGATTGGGTAAGGGTGACTTTGAAGTGTTGGTTGAAATACATCAAACAAATTATTTTTTATTGCTAGCCTTGACATTCAAAAAGTTTTATGTAAATTTTCTTTTTCAAGAATCATCTGAAAGTGGGGGCTAGCATTTTCTACATTTTGCCATCTCTTGAAACATGTACATTGTATTCTGAATGTCAACATCTTACTTAGTGAAATTACAAACAAGAAGCAACATAAGGTCTAAAGTGTTTCTTGTAAAACATTTCCAACTTTGGCAGCAAACTGAACCTGAAGTAATCATCATCATACTGAATTTTCAGAATCAAAATATCACAGAAAGTAAACACAACAAAATGACACATTTTTCTTTTGGAAAGAAAAAGCTGGCCTTGCACTTGATCATAGTATTTATGAGAGTTTTTAAGTGTAACAGTGCCATCAGATAACTCAACAAGGAATGGGAATTTCTTCCCAGGTTTGATTTCCTCATTTCTACCAGTATAAGGACATTTAACTTCAATAATGGCATAATTGTCTATTAATCCATCTGGTGTTGCACCAAGAAATGGAAAATCTGTAGATACAAATAGTCCACATCCTTTAACTTTGAGACCAGAAATCTCCTCAAATCTACATATAGCTTTGTTTTCATATTGTCTACCATGCATGATAGGTGAAGTAGAAATTAAATTTCTTTGATATAAACTCGAACAAAGTTTCCGTGTATCTCTGCGGCAAGTCATTTTTGCAATGTCTCCGAATCTGGATGCTGTTATCCTCCACTTTCTCTCATCAAACCATTGTTTACTTTTAGCTTGTAGCCTTGTAGTTTTCTCTATAGTCTCTGCTTTTTCTGGAGTTACCTTAATGTTAAAAATATGTAAACATTAAATTAGTCAAGATCAATAAGCAATATTGAAATAAAGGTCATAAATTAAAAAAATACTTACATACAATGCTCTGTCTACAATATATTCTGTGAAGGGGAGTTGAAGGTAATCATGATCTCTACTTGCAACCTGAAATAAATAATTATTTATTTATGAATATTATAGGCAAAATTTAAAGGGGGGGGGGGTGTCACTCCCCTGTGAAATGATAATTGTTATGCCGCAGTTGAATATGCTAGCTCGCATCAATATCAGTGTATGAATTTGGTTTTTAAATCTTGTTTAGGTTTCTTTGAAACTGGTTTAAACACAAAATGTGATGGACCAACAGATAAACATGACAGACACTATATGCCCCTGCCATATTCATCGTGATGCATAAAAATACCAAGAAATAAAAATTTCTTTACCAGAAGACTTGTAGAAGGTGTTGAATATCTCAAAGTTATGTCCAAGGAGGAGGCAGCACAATAGTTAACCATGCAGTTGTAAACATAACTTGAGTACCCAGTGGAATTTCTTTTGTACTTTTCTTTTCTTGGGTCCTCAAGCATGTCCTCCGAGATTTTCCTTTTCCAAGGGATTTTGTCCGCAATAAGAGGCTTACCTGGATGTAAAAAATTTTTTTATAGTTCTAAATAATTTAAAATTGTGTGAGTCATTTGGAAATCCTGAAATTTTTAGCTCTGAAATCTATACTAAGCAGAAAACACAATAAAATAAATACTCAGTTATCTCTTTTGTCTATTGTTTAACATTGTGTTTAATAGAATGTTTTCAGTATTATACAAACCTTCATACATTTTTTTCGGCACATGGAAATTTTGTAAATTTTCTGTGCAGCCTTTCATCACAGAAATCTCCCCCTTTTCGATGAATGCTGCCACCATCAACAAAACTGCACCAATATGCTTGCATGTCCCATGTGGACCTTTCCCAGCTGGGCACTCACAATGTGAATTTAAGGGTTCCCTATGGGTTCTTCCAAGCCTTATTTTAAAATTATATGAAACCTGGAAGACAAAACAGAAGTGTTAAAAAATAAAAATAAAACACTATGTTAAGACTATAGGTATAGGTAACATTCAGAGATTCTTTGAAAAATTTATTGCATGTATCAAACTTAAGGATATACGATCCTCAGCCAGGAAGGATAACTCTTTAATTTATAATTTAATTCAAAAAGTCTTAAAATAAAGCTTGAAATTGAAATTTTTTCATGCAACAATTTTCATTTTATGCCTCTACGTATGATTCAATGTTCTTTAAAGTTTTAACAAACGGTATTTAAAAAGTTGAAATTTGTACCTCACAAAATGAAGTAAAACTTGCCAATTTAAAAAAAAATCAAATTTCTTTTAATTAGCCATAGTTACCAATGTTTATATGCATGATTTGAAATTAGAATTGATTTACGGTGTTTTTTTTTTTTGAAAGGAAACACTTCATACACTATGCATTATGAAACAATGGAAGTAAGTAGGAGAAAGTAAAGTCCAAATAAGTGTAAAATTAATGCAATTTTCTTTAAAAGCCTGGATACCTATGATTTTTATTCCTAAAATGTATTTCTTGATTAATTATCAATTAAAAAATATGCAGTAGGTAGTTCAAATCGCATTTCCTGAAAAATTATTCGAGATTTACTAATTTTCCCTATATAATATGATTAAATTTAAGATGAATTTTAAAGAAACACCGTGGGTAAATACATTTTAATTTGAAAATTTAGAGACATCTTTGTGAGCATGTTCAATTACTCGATGCCTGATTTTCAGAACCTGAGGATCGGATAACCTTAAATTGTATATTATTTATGAGGTTTACATTAGCATAACTAAGTATGAATGGCTCTGACTATTTTCATTCTTTCTATACTGAGAAAGAGAGTAAATCATTGTAAGGCCAAAACAAAAAATACTCTTGTTTCCTGTCAACCGACCTACCCTACATTTTACCCTCCGACCCCAAAAGTTTTTATTACATTTTCATTTTTTGGGTAACTATTTTTCTAAAATACTAAAGTCAACCAACAATATTTACAGAACTAATACATCACAAGTTTACAGGATACCTTTACTTTATAAATCCTGATTAACAAACTTGCTCTGTAAACTGTTAACATATCATTGTCTTGTTATTACATGCTATATGTTCTGCATTCATTGAGTTTTGAAAATAATTTTTTTTCCCTACCTACCTACCCTAATTTATTTGGTCAGGGGACAGGAAACAAGAGTATATTTTCTTTTGGCCTAATACAAATTTAATACTGATCATATTTGAGGTAGCCAATTACTGTAAAAATAAAAACCTTTTGTTTCATAGCTGCACCAACTATCCCAGACAGGTACACATCACCGGAAACACACATACTGCAGGCTAAGATTCTGTTACCCTTCAGAAGATCTTTTCCTTTCTCCAGGGCCTTGATATCAGATGTCATTTGTTTATCTTCTAATGAGTAAAAAAAATCATATACGTTTTGTAACATTGGTAACAAAAAAACCTTAGGCCTAACTGTGTTTCACCTACAATGATGTTATTAAATTTTCCACTGACCTGCCATTCTGTACAAAAAGTAATTCTCGATCTGGGTAGTTGATAACTTGGGTAGCAATTGTCTGTGTTCTTGTCTTAACTGTTGGAATCCACATGTTGGCCAAAACACATCTACTGGTTCGGGTATTACGATAGGGTCTTGCCTAAAATTCTTGTTGCGGTCGTATGCATCAAGCCTGCATTATTGAGTCAAAAAATAGCATTTAAAAGAGTGTAAGCGTAACTGAATCATCTTCATTATTACTAAGAAAAAAAAATGGTAAAATGTCTATGATTTTGCGCGAGTTGAGTTCAATATTTGCACATGTCGACTAGGCCTAACTGGCATGCGACGACATTGTTCACATAAGGAGAATGTTTATTTTGACTTGTGATATTGTTTGTCAATTATAAATACGTCATATCTTAAAAAAATGTTTTTACCTTTCGATTAAACCAATCTTTCTCCCAGTGATCACAGCACCTCTTTGGGAAAGTTCGCATTTTAAACGCGGGATCGTCCAGTGTTTATAATTCTCCGCCATGTTAGCTTTTTCTATACCCCTTAGAACTCGCGCGCCACCTGGCGAGTAATGACGACGGCGTAAACCATTTCGATCCGCGAATCTCTATGCCTTTAGTGCTTCCCCACGAAACAGATCCCTCTGTTTACGAGAATAAGAATCAGCAACTTGACTCTCCCTGTCTTCAATAAACTTTGCTCGAAACGAGAAATTAAATTTCATGTATTTCATGATAAGTATTCTTTATAAAAATATAAATCGCTTTTATTTAGACGTTTGAGAATTAATAATTTGAACTTATGCTTTAATGTCAGTACGAAAGAGCACTTTCTTGTTCCTTAATGTAGGTCCCTTCAATGTAATTTCCAGCAAAACTGGTACTTAAATCGAGACATGTTATATCCCTCATAATATTTTTAAAATGTCAATGTCTTGGCCATGCAAAGTATACCCATTTCCAGCAACGCCCCGCATCCCACCTAACAGGACTCCGACCTATCCGTAAATAAATCTATAAAATATTTGGCTGACTAATGACTTTCTAGGAAATTTAAAATGATCAAAAATCTTAACCACGTTCTTAAGTCGTCTGACAACAATTCCTCTGTTATACTGATAT